ACGAACAGTTCACTCACAAAGAAAAGTTCTTTCATCAATTACTCATCCTCATGGCATTCAAAACCCGCATGACTGCTTCTCTTTTTTCCACAGAACCCAAAATATGATTTTATATTCTGCTGTAGTGCTCATATTTCATTTTCAATATACACAACCTTAGAATTTATGCACTGCAAATTTACTATAGAAATAAAGTACACTACATATTGCATAAAGACTACCACTCAGAAGTTTGGGGTCAGAGTTTTTTTTTTTTTTTTTTTTTAAGAAAATGATTCTGTTCATCAAGGTAGCATTTATTATATTAAAAAAATGTTAAATTGTTAAATATTTATTTTTAATTTTACACAAATGCTTTCTTATTGTATATAGTTTTAAATGAAAGTATTACTCCAGTCATTATTGCTTTTATTATTATGACCATTATTAATAATAATAATAATAATAATAATAATAAATATTAGAGTGATTTCTGAAGGATCATGTGACTGAATAAGTAAAATCACTGGAATAAATTCTTAAACTACAAGCAGCTATTTTATAGTGCAATAACATTTCACAATTTTACAATCTGTACGGTATTTTTTATTAAATAAATGCAGCTTTGGTCATTTTACATTTTACAATAAGAGTCATAATTATATTACGAAATATATATATACATACACAGTTAAAGACAAAGCAAATATTATTAATAATAATAATAATAATAATAATAATAATAATAATATATATATATATATATATATATATATATATATATATATATATATATATATATATATATATATATATATACAGTTAAAGACAACGCAAATAATAATATTAATAATAATACTTATAATAAAAATATATACAGTAAAAGACAAAATTATTAGCCCTCCTGTGAATTTTTTTTCCATGAGCAAGATATTTTTCACAGTATTTTTTATACTATGTCTTCTTCTGTTTTATTTTGGCTGTAATAAAAGTAGTTTTCTTTTTTCTTTTTTAAGGTCAATTTAAGATCAAAATTATTAGCCTCTTTAAGCATTTTTTCCCAATTGGCTAAAGAACGAGCCGTCATTTTAAAATGACTTGCCTCATTACCCTAACCTGCCTAATTAGGCCAATAAATGTTACTTTAAGCTGAATACTAGTATCTTGAAAAATATGCAGTAAAACATTATGTACTGTCATCATGGCAAATATAAAAGAAATCAGTTATTAGAAATGAGTTATTAAAACTATTATGTTTAGGAATGTGTTGAAAAAATCTTCAGAAATTGGTGAAAAAAAATTTTAAAGAGTTAAATTTTAACAGGAGGGCTAATAATTCTGCTTCAACTGTATATGTAAAGTTATATGTACATTTAATTAGAATTTGCGTGTTTCAAAAAGGAAAAAAAAACATAGTTTGGAATAAAAACTAGGCCCTATACAGTAAGTTAAGTGTAGCTTCAGTTTGCATATGTTGTTATTAGATCCGGCAGGTCATAGGCTGCTGATCTGAGACCAGTATTGTGCATTAAAAGGGATGAAACAAAACAAGGTCTCTCGGATGGCACAGGGTGACAGCATTTCTGTGTTGGGACTGGCCTGCCTGTACTGCTTCGGATCAAAACTGCAAATAATCCGAAGATCATGGACGACAGATACAGATACCAGATGGAGCGAGTTTGTACGGGAGAGAAAAATATGAAAAAAAAAGACATTAGCGGAGTGATTATGTGCAGCCTATATCGGCACAACGGGGTGATCTTCAGTTCAACGATGAGAGAGAGAGATGAAAAGATAATATCAGCTACATGCAGGATGAGAGAGATGAACACGCTCATCTGTCTGTATCCTCTAATCTGAGTAAACAGGCCCATGTTGGTGTCACACACAAGGGCGTGGAAATAATAGCTCCAGCTTCCGAGCGCACATCTGTGATAATCTTGGAAGTTAGGAGGAAAATATGCCTTATAATCTGGTGTTGGGGGACACACACGTAACAGAGCTCCGGGGGAGGATAAAGCAGGACTTTTTTCGACATCGTTCTCTGTTTAAACTCAAGCAAACAGGCGACTGTTTCCATTCAATCATCGTGTTTATGTTTTCTCAAACTGTAAATCAGTCGACACAGACTTTTTCATTGTCCGCTAATAATTTGTAAACACACACAAAATCAGCGGAATCGCTGCCCTGTGTTTGTTTTAAAAGAGGCCATTTAGAACAATTCTCTGTCTGCGCTGGAGAGACGCCACTTTTCGCGCAAGTTTACGCAAGCGCAATCCTCTTAAGAGTAATCACCCACCTCAGACTTACACAAACAGAGGAGACCTAGCAAATCCTACAGTTTCAAACAACATCAAAACTTTGACTAGACCCAATATTGCTGATCTGGCTAACAAACACTAGTGTGAATCTGTTAGAGAGAAAAAAAACAATAAGCATTTTTGGGCCAGGTTCAATTTTAGGAAACACTAATGAAGACCAGAGTCAGTGTACCAGTGAACATAAGGCTTCCACAAAGTATACGCATATTTTTACATTGATGCTATTGAATCAACATTTTGGGTATTGAGTTTGTAAATGAATCATTTTTTCTCTCATCTAACAGTTAAAAAAGATTATAAAAAGATGAGCAATTCCATGCAAATGTCAACCTTGACAAACCAAAATATTAGGTTTTCACCAACAGACAGATTTTTTTTTGTGTGTTAACAAGTATTTTACAGTACTATAGAAATACTCAAAAATGTCTCTGTCAATGTTTTCAAAGTATTATATTTGATTTACCAAAGTCACACAAGTTGCAATTTCAAGTCACATCCATAACGGAGAGGTGTCACATACATAACAACACTTTTTCCTCATAAATGCAAAAATATTAAATAAAATAAAATCAATCGTGTTTGTTCTATACTGAGTCAACTCTCATCCTTTTGATGAGCATTATTTCTTTTGGTTTGTGCAGTTTAATTCACAGAGTTTCTACAAAGTATGTTGTGTAACGCTTAATACATCCATAACGCATGTTTATTTTCCTCATTTAAAGTACAAAACATGTTTACAGATTGATATTTTTCTGATCCCATAACTCAGTGGTCAGTTGTTTTGGAAAACATAAACAGATGTTTCAATATAATGTTAACATATATACTCTGTGAATTGATGTTTTGAGTTTTTACTGCAAATGTCACATCCATAACGTTGAAATGCTCATATTGCAATAAATTTTTCTACAGATGTTAAAGGGAACTATCAATGCCAATCTTTTTTTGTAGTTCTTCTATCTAAAAAAAAATTTATTTTTAAAAAAAATTTTATTTAAAGGGAATCGATTTGTGAAACCCCCTTGGGAATTTTTACGATACGCTTTTAAACCAATCTTCAAATTAGGGATGCACATTGCAATATTTTTTATTCTGCTATACATTGTGATATGAATACAATTTCACTAGATGAGTTGAAGTATTTGGACTATTTGTTGAACTATAAGTTGAACTATTTGGAAATAATTTATAAATTTAGATTAATTAGCAATATTCTCTATAGGAGTGCATGAATTATAATAAACAATCTACAAGCATAGATATATTTATTTAAGAAAAAGATACTAATTAAATAAACAGCATTTACTGTTTTCCAGAGTCGTCAAACTATATTCAGGTACAGTTAAAGTCAGAATTATTAAACCCCCTGAAATATTAGCCCCCCTGTTTATTTTTTCCCCAATTTCTGTTAAACGGAGAGATTTTTTCAACTGAATGGTTGAAAAAAAAAATGGTGTTTAAAAATTAAAAACGGCTTTCATTCTAGCTGAAATAAAACAATAAGACTTTCTCCAGAAGAAAACATATTATCAGACATACTTTGAAATTGTCCTTGCTCTGTTAAACATAATCTGGGAAATATTTAAAACAGAAAACTAAATTTGAAGGGGATTTAATAATTTTGATTTCAACTGTATATAATAATTGAATAATCAACTGTAAAATAACACTGCATAGTGTTTGTTGTGTAGACAAATCTAATCAAAGTATTTGTTATTAAATAAAAATTTCCCATTTAAAACCCTCACATAGTCGCAAGCCTTAAAAAACACTTGCGATATGATCAATTATGACCCAGCCTCAACAATGCGCATTCACATGATGTGACTATTGCAAATTATCACATTGCGATATCGATAAATCTGAAACTATATAATGTGCAACCCTACTTCAAACTATTCTCTAAAACATTACTTCAACCAACTGATCAGGGTGATCAAGACTTCTAGAGACTATTAAGAAGATGTGAGTTGGAGGTGTTTGGACTTAAACTGTGCAGAGCTGTGGCTCCACAGGAATTGAGTTTAAGACCATTGGTCTGAAATGTTCTTCAAAGCTCTTCTACCCTCTTCTTACCCGCTAAAAACATTCATAGAACTATTAAGTTCCACAAAATGTTCTTTATAATAGAAACATTTTTGGTTCTCCAAATAAGCTCTCCTCAAATAAGCTCTCCTCAAGTGTGTGTAAAGAACATAAACCCCCCCGAAAAATCCCTTTTTCCACTATAAAGAAAGCTTCATAGAATACAATGGTTTTATGTAACCTTTTGTGAAAGGGAAGACTGTTAAAGATAAACGTTCTAAAAGACATATTACTGGTTATACAATGAACCTTTCAGAAAACTGGTCATCAAATTATTGTATATTTGAAGTTATATAATTGTAATATTTTATATTTTATATTAGTTTCTCAATGTATAGAATATTTTTAAAAGTTTACAAACATTTACCCCTTAGAAAAAACTAACTTTGGTGGAACTGTATGGTGGTTTGGCTTTTAAAGGCCAATAAAGAACCTTTATTTTAAAATGAGATATTCTGTGAGATTATGGATAGACAATGAATGTTAACAGCTTTTAGATTAAGAACCCCCATAAGAGGTATATGAGCTAAAGCCATGACTCCTGTAACCAGCATTTGTACATATATATATATATTTTTTTTTTTGTATATTTTGATAAATATAAGCAGACATTACCATTTTCTGGCTGGTCCTTGATGTCGCCTTCACTGGGCTGGTTCGGACTGTCAGACTGCCCTGCTTCTGTAAAGAACCACAAAGAGAGAGAAAGACAGACAGTGACTCTTTTGTTTCTCGACCGCATTGAAATCATGCACTTGACAGCCTCTTGAAATCTGTGTTTCCACAGTCTGAATACTCGGATAGCAAACGTCTAGTCCAGAGCACCAAGGAATCACCGGCGAGCGTGCTGACCGTGCAGTCTGGCTGCCAAGTGCGCACTGGTCATACAGGTGAAACCCTATGCTGATGTGTGTATGCAGGAGGCCACCATGTTGGCGGTTCAATAGAGCTGACTGCTGCCACGATAGACTGACAGACAAATGCATATCACGCAAAAAAAACTCTTTCATTAATGCTAATCATTTATTTTGACATCAAAATCACAAAAGCTATGCAACTATGTTACATATTTCTGAATACTGATTAAAAAAATGATTTGAAGATCTTATCTGCGATCAATCAATTGTCAGACATAACTATAAATTTCAGCTTGCATTTATTATCATTCCGACCAAAGGGAAGTTATTGGAAAAGAAGGTCTGACTGTACTCTAGCCAATGTCCTTTTGGCACACGGCTCGGCAGGTCAGACCGACAGTGTGGCCTGGGCTGTGAATTCACACTGAGTGTGCTATTTGCAGCCGAGGCACTTATGGAAATAAGTCTAGAGAGAGAAAGCCTTCAGACCTGGGTGTACTGCATAAAAAAAGGCCCTATAAATTTGATGGGCTCCGATTTCTCCTAAGAAGTGCTCTTTAACGGTGCCATTAGCCGAGATAGCAATGATTTGGTCCGAGACGTTAAGGGGAACTTTCGCAAAAATTCACCCCAGTCACTTTAACTCTTCTGCTACAGCCAAAAATGGCAAAGAAACCCTTTAAGATGATTTAGATGCTGGGTTGAGTATTGATTTCCCACTGGAGATAAAACAGTCACTCTGCGAGAAATATCCCCAATGTCATGCTAGCAAACAAAATGCTTAGCAAAATTTTCCTACTTCAGAAACTTATATATACTGAAAGCAAAAAAAAAAAAGTACAAATATTGGTGCACAAATGTCAGCTTGCAATAAATCAAGGAAGCGCAACTTTTTGATAAAGAAAGAAAAAACAAAAGCTAGACCCCTACCACCACTACAAAAAAAGGTTTGGCCAGCCCCTTCATCTGCTCCTAGACAAAGTAAACAATTTAGGGCCTTGTTTGCATTCAGCTCAGCATTGCCGTCTGCATCAACAGTTTAAAACAAAGGCAATCTGAAGAGTGGACTGAAAAAAAAAACACACGCAGCAACACCCCCCGCCCCAGCAACAGCCCAGAGATATGTGAAAGAGCAACGAAGGGGGCCGGGAAACCGGGTGCCGGGTGGGTGCGAGTGTGCGGGGACTTTCACACACTCTCCCAGTTGCCCTCCGCGGACCAAGTGCTCTCTCACACAGCGCCCATTGCTAATTAAATATGCAAATGAGGCGTGAGACCCAGACTCTGTGTGTCACATCTGCATTTACCCCCTGTCGAGGGCCCTCAGAGAGCGAGGGGGACACAAAAAAACCCTCCCCTCAGAAATAAACAACAAAAAAAAGACACTAAACAACAAACAACTAAATACCGTGCACAAACAGGCCCATTCACCATGCCTAAATCCTCTATACAAGAGCATAACAAGCCACTCTATGGGCCGCCGACTGAAAGACAGAGGAGGGATGGTTCCTGCCTATCTCTAATTTTGTTCTCACACCATCAAAAAGATGGGAACGGCGCTCGGGTGTGAGAGAAGAAAAGCAACCTGGAGTGACTCAGTCAACGCGTTATTCCGCCTCGTTTCGAAAACCGAATTCATTATCAAACAATCAAAAAGAGATGCTGAGGTAAAAAGATGCCGTTTAGCATCTGATAACTAGTTTAATTTGATTGAGACAAGCTCAGGTTGCTTCACATAGTGAAGCCTATAAGAAAAGTAACCCGCAGTGACTGTCAAACAATCAAACAAATACGCAGAGGTAAAAAATGATAGTATATGATATCAAGTAAAGTTTAATTTAGGTGGACTTACTGTAGGTCCATGGTGGAACTTAGTAGCAAAGCAATCAAGAGTGATTCAAAGTATTGTTTAGCCTTAACTTGACAATGAAATTTATTATTGAGCAATCAAGACAATTAATTAAAAAGATTAGCATTTAGCATTCGCTAACAACCTTGGGCTAATTGAGATAGGCTCGGATCACTTCATTCTGTTGAACTGATAGTAAAAGCAACCTGTAGTGAATAGTTAGTTAACATGCTATTCCGGCTTAATTTAACAGCAGAATTCATTACTGAATACTTGAAAAGAAACGTTGATGTAAAAAGACGTTGTTCAGCTTCTCATAACTAGTTTAATTTAATTGTGACAGGCTCAGGTTGCTTGACATAGTAAAGTCTATGAGAAAAGTAACCCACAGTGACTCACTACCAAACAAATACACAGATGTAAAAGAAGTTGCCGGTTAACATATGATATCAAACAAAGTTTAATGTAAGTAGACTTTTGTTTTTTAACATGGTGGATCTTAGTGGCAAAGCAACCAAGAGTGAATCAATGTTTTCTTTAGCCTCAATTTGACCATGAAATTCATTATCCAACCATTAAAAAGGGACAATTAAGTAAAATGATTAGCATTTAGCATTCGCTAACAACCTTGGGCTAATTGAGATAAGCCGAGATCCCTTCATTCTGTTGAACTGATAGTAAAAGCAACCTGTAGTGAATAGTTAGTTAACATGCTATTCCGGCTCAATTTAACAGCAGAATTCATTATTGAATACTTGAAAAGAAACGTTGAGGTAAAAAGACGTTGTTTAGCATCTGATAACAAGCTTGGGCTAATTGAGAGACTCATGTTGCTTCGTTTGTGGAACCGATAGGAACGTGGCTGAATTAGTCAGCGAGGTGATTCCCTAATTAGATCATTAGGACTGGCTCGCGGCGGCAGGCAGGTTGGGTAGGAGTGTTATACCCCCTGGCCTGCCTCCGACTCTTCCTCTCCCAGGCCAGGCCGAGGGCTTCAGGGGGGAGCACATATGCACTCACACACACAAACACACACACACACACACACACACACACACACACACACACACACACACACCGCCTGGTCTGTTTCATTATGCATGCACTAAACCATCTGTACTTCTCGCAGGTCCGCTTGTCCCAACCCGCCGCTTTCTCACCAAGTGCTTTGCTGTAATCCAATTGTGTGTTAAAACCCCGCTTTCAAAAGGCCCTTTACACAGTGGGCTCAGGAACACGAAGGCCCATAAAAGGAGGCAGAAACTTAATTTAGAAATACAAACGGGCCTTTCTGGAGTATCAATGGAAGGTGAAGCTCCAGGGATTGGAGCATTGTTTCCACAAGTATCATCCCCCAGATTTTTCTTTTTTTTTTTTTTCGGGCTGCCACAGACATTATGAGATGGGTGCTGAATTCCTGCATAGTCACACTCAAGACCGTCCGGATTATACAAGAAACTTTGAAGGGTTCGGTTGAGTGTGATCGTTACAACACTGTATTACTGGAGAGTCACATATTTGAGCTATGATGCATGTTATATAAAAAATATATGGGGGGGGGGGGGGGGGGTTGTGTAATACGCAATAATTTCTGGGAACTGCAATGACTCACAGATGGGGAACATGCAAGTTGTGAGCAGTAAGGGAGGAAAGGTAAGAAAGTAACTCAAGTGAGCGTCAACTAAACTTGTTTGTCTAAAAGTATAAAGTGCAATATTCTAACCGTTGTTCCGTCTTTCTGATAAGAAGTTAAACTGAGGTCTTCACTACATGTGGTTGTTAAAAATCCCAAGATGTCCTTCGAAAAGAGTAGGGGTTTAACCCTGGCCAAAATTTGCCTACTGGCCTCTGTCCATCATGGCCTCCTAAAAAACCCCAAATCATAATTGGCTCCATCATTCTGTCTCCTCTCCATCAATCAGCGAGGTGTGTGGTGTGCGGTCTGGCGCAATATGGCTGCCATCACGTCATCCAGGTGGATGCTGCACACTGGTGGTAGATAAGGAGATTTCCCCCAATGTGTAGAACACTGTAAGTGTCCAGAAAAGTGCCATATAAATGCAAAGTTTTATTAATTATTAATTGCTGCTTCGTATTTTCGGCAGAACCCTTGATTAAGAAGCCTATTTGTAAAAGCCTTCAACAAAAGGTTTTTCGTCTTAAAAATTCGTGCTGACCCCAACAGTAGTGAAAGCAAGTTGAGGCACTTCATCATCATTTCAAAACAAGACTGGTTGTCATTTTTCTGTGCAAGGAAGTGGAGAGAGCCGTTTGTTTCCGTCAGGCCGCTGCCCGTGTGCAGTGTTTGAGTAACCCTGACCTCTCCCCCTGCGCTTTTACGTCACACCGTATTTAATAAGAGGCAGTGTTTAGACAGGACCCTTCTGCTTCTCCTCTATAGATCAGCCCGTTGCCGAGGCCTGTGCTGTTTTTCTTCTCTCGTGGAGCGTTGCTTGTTTACACTGCTGTTTTCGGAGGACCGGGAAGCGAGACGGGAGAGGATAGTGTTACAGGCCGTGTTTACAGATCCTGTCTGGATTTTGAATAGTAATACTGGTGTATGTTTTCTTTCCTTCTATTGTATCTATTGAGAAATGCAGAATGCACTTTTAAGGACAGGGACCAAGGTAGGGAGTCCTAGGACCTTTGATGTGCTTCAGTCAAGCTCATTCACCAAGGCTGGTGTATTAAAAAAGGGAGCAGAATCCACTCCGCGGTCGCCCAGTGATGACATTATGGGATCATTGTGGTACATTAAACCATCTATTGCAACCCCGGAAAAAGCAATAAAACTAGCCGAGTCTCAATTATTCTTTTGTCAGTGTGACTTGAGCTATTCCCCCCTGCAAATATAAAGCTACACCAGACTATAACAAAAAGCTATCAATAAGTGTTAGTGGGGTAAAGGAATGCCATGTTGCCTTACTTGAACTTGTAAATCAGCTCTTGTGCTAGCAGTGTAAGACAAGCTGTCT